CTCTCTCTAGATATATATAATATGCAATGTATATTACACAGACACACACACCTCAAGCCATCAAGCCTCACTGTAAACAAGCCACCAGCACTGGTGCCATGAAGCCATTGTGGCAGGGAGTACTTGACACCTGCCAGCCACCCACTTTGTCACAGACATGGGATGAACTGCACGCCTCAACTACTCACCCCAGAGCATCCCTTAATAGGAGAAAACATTTCTCTGCAACCATGGTAATACAGGAGCGAAGAGGGCTGAGACTCGGTGAAGTCCCAGCTTTGGATGATTCTTCCAGCTTTGGCTGGCAAAAGGGCCAGAGACTAGCTGAGATAGACTACTTGGAATAAAACTGAGTTGCATTCTTGCAGGAGACTCACGGAGACAATGCCCTATGTGCCACCAGCCATACTCACGCTGGCTGGGCAGGGTGCTTGTGAGTTAGCCAGCCTTCCCAAACACAGAGCCCAATGGCTGTCTTCCTCCCCGCCCTCCTGGTCTCTCCCATGAGGGACATAAACAGAGAATTAGACTCTCAAACCTCCTTTCCATAAAACAAAGGAATGACGAGATAGATAGAATTGACGTGGAGATCACTTTGCTATTTTGCACATAACAAGCAAAACAAAACACAATAACCGTAATATAGCATCTTTATTGATGTTTTTCTTATACTGTAGAAGGTGGATACATGAAATATAGATCAAGATTTGGGTTAAAAGGGGCCAGTGGTAGAGAACGGGAAGCCCCTGGGGAGAAGAATCTACTCAGCTGCCCCATTCAGGTGGCATGCTGAAAATGGATTTGATTCAGACTTCAACAACCTAGCCTCTGCTTTCTACAATCTAGGACATGAATGCATTAGCACTTGGACTTGGGCTTGAATTGCAAATTTGATTTTGTTGTTCATATTAAAAAAAGAAGCTACACCAGATGCTTGGAAAACATTAGGATTTTGCTGGCTAGAGAACAAAAATATTATCATTCTACCTATTTGTATTTTGAAGATCCAGGAAGCATATTCTCTCTCTCTCTCTCTCTCTCTCTCTCTCTCTCTCTCTCTCTCTCTCTCTCTCTCTCTCTCTCTCTCTGTTGCCGTTGTAGCTGTGTGTCACTGAATTGGAAAAATTGCAAAGCTAAAGCCATATCGATATTATTTCATGGAAACTCATGCCCACAGAAGCCAGCTGCTATTACCCAATTTTCAGAGAAAGAAATCAAGGCTTGTAAGTTTCTCTCACTATTAATTCAGCAGTTATTCACTGACTGTCTGCTGGGAGGAAGCTCCCAAAACTAAACAGAACTGAAAAATCTCCACCTTAGCATGACTTCCTTTCTCTCTCTCTCTTTTTTTTTATTGTAAAGATACTATACAGAGGGTTACAGTTACATGAGTAAGGTAACGAGTACACTTCCTATTGAGCATTGTTACCCCCTCCATTGTTTTCCCCCTACCATCCCTTCCCTCCCTACCTTCCCCAAGGTTCTTTTTTTTTTTAATTGTGATTAAGTGATTACATAATTTCCTGAATTTCACAATATTGTGGAATAATGATGCTCATTTAAAGTCACAAGTTCATTCTAACTTTCCTGGACTTCCTTTCTCTTAAAGAATGTTTCTGCCATCATTTATAGGTGTCAGCTCTTGGGAAGGGCCGCATGGTTTTTCCTGGCGTTCAGACTCAGAGCCTTTCTCCCATTTCTCTGGCCCTGCCCTCTGTACCACTGCACCTGTTTAGCCAGCTAGACATGAAACTTGGGTTCCTGGCAAGGCCTGCCCGTCTGTGGTCAAAACTGCCATTTAGCAGAGGAATACAGCAGAGCATCTTTCTGTCTCTGCTCCCTGTGCCCATTACATGACCAAGAAGAGAATCACGGGCCTGCGCTTTCTAAAGTCTGGTTCATTTTTTTTTAAGTCAAGGGTTTCTTTTGTTGTTGTTGTTGTTTTTGAAGCTTAACATTACTTGGGAAGGTCTCCGAGCCTCATTTCCACGTGGCCCAGAAACTGTGATGTTTGAACTGTCCTCCGCAAAGAGCTACATCCGTTCATGTCTCTGTCATACTTGCCATCAGAAGTGTGGCTTCCCGGTTTGTTCCATAAATAACATCATTTGCTAGTGATGTCTACCTGCTCTGATGGAGTGAACCATTATTTTCTTTGATGTCAAATTCCAGTGTGTCCCAGTTAGGGCCAAGTTTTTAGCAGTTCAAGAACCTCTGCCAAATGACTGGGTCTGGTGTTGTGATTAAAAATAACTAGGCTTAGCTGGGCACCGGTGGCTCACACGTGCCATTCTAGCTACTCAGGAGGCTGAAATCTGAGGATCATGGTTCTAAGCCAGTGTGGGCAGGAAAGTCCGTGAGATTCTTTTCTCCAATCAACTACCAAAAAGAAAAAACAAAAAAAAATCTGGAAGTAGAGTTGTGGCTTAGATAGTAAAGCATTAGCCTTGAGCCAAAGAGGCTCAGAAACAGCACCAAGGTCCTGAGTTCAAGCCCCAGGATCAACAACAACAACAAAATACACATACACACACACACATACACAAAGTTTAGGAACAAGAGTTCAACTGGAGTTTTGCTCAAGACCCTTGTCTAGTCTGCTGACTAGACTAAATGACTAAATGGAGTCTGTGTATGAGAAGGCACATAGCAGCTGAGTGACCTTTCTTAGAATTGGTGCGGCGACTCCGGGTTGGTTTTGCTGTGCATGGGCTCCCGCAGAGCCTCGCCAGCTCCGCGTGAGTGCCACAGCGTGGCTTGAGGGGCCCCACGCCCTCTCCCGTGGTTGTCCAGTTCACAGCACCTCTGCTCTGCCCCTCCCCACCCCTCCCTCACCTGCTTTGGCCTGAGCAGGGCTGCTCACCTCTTCCAACTAGCCCGGCCTTCCTTGTGCCACACAGCAGCCATCTCCCGTGCCTGGCCCTTTAGCCAGACACACTTCAGGCCCTTCCTGGCAGAAAGGAAGCTGGCAAACATGTGAGTTGACTTTTAAATCAGTAAGCACACGGGGTTAGAAAAACTTCTCATTGGACTTCTAAAATGAGCCCCATTCAGAGAACAGAACACGTAAAACCCAAGGGTAAGAGGTCATGGCTTCCACTGCCAAGAAGGAGGAGCTGCAGAGCAGGCATTCCTTCCAGCCCCCGCCGCCTCCTGCGCTGGTGCAATGGCACCTCGTAGAGCCCTGTGAATAAACAGTAGAATTAGTCACTCCCTTTGCAATGACTTATTAACCACTGCGAAGACCCTGAACACCCGGCGCAGCCCCGCAGAGCCCTAGTAAGCATGGCAGCCCGCCCCTCCCATCTTCACACCTGGCACACAGGTGAGACACCTGCCCCCAAGTGCTGGGAAGCCACAGCAGAGAAGCAGGAAGTGCTCCGACAAGCATTCCAGTGTAGTCAGCCCAGTAAAGGACGGGCAAGACCCCCCCAGGGGTGGGGAGTGTGTGGCTGGGGTAGGGAAGGGGCAATAAGGCTTCCTACAGGAAGGGAACTCTGAGCTCCAACCTGGAAAAGTAAGCATGTATTACCAACAAGAAGGGAGAACCAATATGTATGGCAGACGGCATGGACAAAGCCCTGGGGCAGAAGGAAGCAGGTGTGACACATATCAAGAATGAACGCAATTTTAGAAGACTTGGTAGAAAATGTACATTGGAGGAAATAATGGGAGAAAAGGGGGATGCTGCTCAGGAAGGGGGAAAACCAAACAAAACACACCTATAGTCCCAGCAGAAGGATGAAGAGTTCAAGGCCAGCCTGAACTACACAGTAAGACCCTATCTCAGGAAGAAAGGGAGGGAAGGGAAGGGAGGAGAGGGAAAGAAAGGGTAATCTAAAATGCCAAGTGGTTTCAACAGGCATCTGTATGGATTGTATTCTAAAGGTCATTGCAGGCTTTATAAATGGTAAAGAAAGGATTGCCTATCTTAAGGAACTAGTGTAGAGGGGAGTAGGAGAAGGAAACAACGAATAAAAGAATGGATGAAGGAAAGAGTGGATAGATGAAAGAAGATAGGCAAACAGACTGGTTGGTGCCCTGGCTAGAAGAGGGGTGGTGTGGATGTGACTAGACTGGAGTGGTCCTGGTGGTGTGCGAGGTTTCCAAACCCTGCTCCAATTTCTTGAGTAACTGGGTTGAGCAGGGATCTGGGGGACACTGGTACGGATCAAGTTTGAGTGAACAAGTGACCGGAAGCTCAATGCTGAGATGTCAGATGTGGAGTTATAGATGTCAATGGGATCCAGGTACCTCTCTTGGGGGATATCAGCACCCAGAAGATAGTTTGAAACTGTTGTAATGGAACCATGGGCAGCAATGTGTAGAATAAGCAGAAGGAAAGATGGTGTATGACACAACATCGAGGAATCCCATCATTTGGGATAAACAGAAAATACATAAGAAAGTGAGAAAGGACAGATGGAAAGAGGAGGCAATCCAAATGAGTGTGGCATCATGGAAGCCACTGGAAATGTACTCCTGAAAGACTGCAGATTACTGTAGCAGTGTTAGAAGAGGTGAAATAAGAGAGGGAGTCTTGTGTTACGTCAAATAATAATCTCCCATTGGATGCAATGCAGTAAACAGTTAAGTTCCATCTTCTTAAGAGGTTTTTGTTTGGTTAGTGTTCTTCAGAATACAGTTGATCATCCCAAAGTGTGGCAAGAACTTAAGAATTCAAGTATTAATATCTTCCTCCAGTATGATGTGTTTTGGTCTAAGTTTTGGGTCTAGCATGTGTTTGGAAAAACAATGAGCAGACAATTCTTCCCCAGATCTTTTCTCTCATGCCCCACTCTCTAATCATTCATTTTGCTGAATCATTAGTTGGCTAAATCTTAGCCCTCTGAGTTCTGAGCTTGGATGGCAGGTTCACTGATGATGAAACTGGAACTCTCCTATCTTATTTGGAGTCTCTTCCTGGTGGTGCATGTGATACTTGAGTGGTACAATATGACTCGGGGGGTTAGTCATCCTCTCTTCCGTTTCTTTTCCAGCTACAAGAGACTGTGAAGAGGAAGTTGGAAGGAGCCCGCTCACCTCTTAATGGCGACCAACAGAATGGAGCTTGCGATGGGAGTTTTTCTCCGACAAGCAAGAGAGTCCGGAAGGACCTTCCTGCGGGAATGGACGCCATTAACAGTCTCCCCAACAGCATGCCCCTGCCTTCGGCTTCCCCTCTTCACCAGTTGGACCTGAAGCCTTCTTTGCCCTTGCAGAACAGTGGAACCCACGCCCCAGGGCTTCTAGAAGATCTGAGCAAGAATGGTAGGCTCCCGGAGATTAAAATCCCTGTCAATGGCTGCAGCGACCTAGAGAACAGCTTCACTCTCCTGCAGAACAAGGACCTCAAACAGGAGCCTCTGGACGACCCCGCCTGCATGGACACTTCAGAGACGTCCCTTTCTAATCAGAACAAGCTGTTCTCAGACATCAACCTGAATGACCAGGAGTGGCAGGAGCTGATCGATGAATTGGCCAACACGGTTCCCGAGGACGACATACAGGACTTGTTCAATGAAGACTTCGAGGAGAAGAAGGAACCGGAATTCTCACAGGCAGCCACGGACACCCCGCTGTCCCAGGAGAGTACCAGTGTCAAGAGTGACCCCTCTCACTCGCCTTTTGCCCACGTCTCCATGGGATCGCCTCAGGCCAGGCCCTCATCTTCTGGTCCTCCCTTTTCTACCGTCTCCACAGCCACTAGTTTACCCTCTGTGGCCAGCACCCCCGTGGCCTCCAACCCCGCCAGCTCGCCAGCAAACTGTGCGGTCCAGTCCCCCCAAACACCAAACCAAGCCCACACTCCTGGCCAAGCCCCGCCTCGGCCCGGCAATGGCTACCTGCTCAATCCTGCAGCAGCCCCGCCGGTGGCGGTGGCAGGCTCTGGGTCAGGGCCTGTGGCTGTGCCCAGCTCTGACATGTCCCCCGCTGAGCAGCTCAAGCAGATGGCAGCCCAGCAACAACAAAGGGCCAAACTCATGCAGCACAAGCAGCAGCAGCAGCAGCAGCAGCAGCAGCAGCACTCAAGTCAGGCTTCAAGTTGGTCTCCCTTAGGGCCACCCTCCAGTCCGTATGGAGCTGCATTTACTGCGGAAAAACCAAACAGCCCAATGATGTACCCCCAAGCCTTTAACAACCAAAACCCTGTAGTGCCTCCGATGGCGAACAACCCGCAGAAGACGTCCATGAATAACTACCTCCCTCCCAACCCCATGACTATGATCAGTCAGCAGCCCAGTAGCCTGGGGCCCAACTCCTTAAACAAGCAGCACGGCCTTCTCTCCTACGGCAACACTAAACCTCTGACTCACTTCAACGCGGACCTGAGCCAGAGGATGACGCCCCCCATGGCCAACCCCGGCAAAAACCCCCTGATGCCCTACATCCAGCAGCAGCCACCGCCACAGCCACCCCACCCACCGCAGCCGTCGCCGCAGCCACCAGCCACGCAGCAGCAGCTCCAGGCGCCCAGGGCTCACCTGAGCGAGGACCAGAAGCGCATGCTCCTCCTGAAGCAGAAGGGAGTGATGAGCCAGCCCATGGCCTACGCCGCCCTGCCGGCCCACGGTCAGGTAAGTCTGTCCTTGCGGCCGCTCTGGCGGTGGCTCGCGCGGCATCTTTCACGGGGCCTTCCCGGCTGCTGCTGGAGTGGGGTCTGATTGCCTGCAGAAATCCTCCCGGCCGGCCTCGTGTGGTCTGGAGATTCTGAGCGCAGAAAAGCAATCAAAAGTTATGGAATCTGAAGTTCTCCCTGTGAACCCTGGGAGATAGGCCCTGCCAGGGCGATGTAACCATCTTGGCCGGGTCCTCTAGTTTTAGAGCTGGGTAGTGGGGAGGCAGGCATGTCTGGGGGCTATCGGTTGCCGTTTGATGAGGTTCTGAGCAATCGCCAGCTGGCTTACGTAAGTGGCGAATGGGGGGGAGATTCGGATTCTTGTTACACAAACATGGAGGCGTTCTTCTGTGTTTTCAAAGTGAAGCAGATGGGCAGGTTTTTGTAGGACGGTTCAGTGCATAACGGTTTCATGTGAAAATGTCTCCCGTTGCGTGGCTTGTACGTGAGGCCTGTCCGACTCCTTTGGTTCTAATTCAGGAACATTTGATAATGAATACATCTCAGTGCTAAATTAAGATAAAGCCCCCTCCCCACCCCGCACTGGGTCTTCCTTGGATATCCTGTGTGGGAGGTGAGGCTGTTTGTGATTCCTGGTGAAAAGAGCAGCCAGGCCAGTGGACACAGAATGAATGCTGATCTCTTCAGACCAGCCAATGGCTCGATGCCAAAGTTCCTTCCATTTAACCCTTTACTTTTAAAAGGAAAGTGGCAGCTCTACCCCATCACTATGGGGGTGGACCAGGTATTTGGGACCAGATGTAGGTATTCTAGTTGGAGATTTCATGGAAGTGTGCTTTGCAGTCTAAATGACTGCTTTGACCGGGCTCCACAATCAGATGCAGCAGGAGACGCGGAAGTTGTACAAGCAGATCTGAGCTCTGCATGACTGTTTCCATCTTGTATCTCACTGAGCACCCCAACTTACTCCCCTCCACCTGTCCCCACCCTCACCCCCAGGCTTAATGGAAGCCACAGGGCTGAAGGAGGTGCTGGCTTGCAGAGACAGGCCTGGGTTCTGGGACTCTTGCCCCGCGAAGCCTTCCAACCCCACACCTCACGGTGGCTTTCTTGTCTGCACATGTCGGCCAGTTCTAAAGAAATTCTGACTCGATACATGGAAGTACACCTTGTTTTTACATCAATGGCAATCAGCAGCTGGTAGAAAAAGCATCATTGAAATGTGAACGCTTTATGTTTTATCGTGGTTTAAAAGAGCGATGTTTTATACATGTCAAGATTAAGCTCTGAAACTAGGGGGGGCGGGGACAGAAACAATACCCAGGGATGTTTGTGGTGAGCCAGATACGTCACGAGGTTATGAGATCGCAGACTGTCAGATGATCTGGTGTTAATCTTAATACAAATTATGCCTCTACCGTCACTGTTTTTATACCAGCATTTCCTCTGAGCCAGACCAAAGATGAGTAATTCCAGCCCACAGACTCTGCAGCCGTGTGGGCGCCTTGATTCCCCCTCTTCCCCCCCCCCCCGCCCCCCCCCTCAGCGTTTAGAAATGTGCTAACTTGGGGCAAAGTTGCTGTCTTTGCTAGAACATGAATTTTAAGGGTGCTCATTCCAGGTTCTTATGCTTGTCAGACTGTGAAGGCACTGAAGCCTTCAGCCGCAGAGGTTCTGTTTTGAAAGGGCTCAGCGAAGTGAGGAAGCGTGATGGCTTTCTGCGGTAAGTCCCTGCGCTGCTCCTCCCTTCCTCCCCGCTCACCGGGCTTTGAGTGGACAGAATCTTCCCTGGCAAAACCTCATCACAATAATCGTTTCTTAACCTCATAAAGCACCGTCGGGCGAATGCATGCCTCTAAATGACCCTGTTCGCAGCCAGGCTTCAAAAGACTCCATGTGAATATTGCGCTGCATTTATTCCTTGTTTTTTATCTTGATGGTGGGGCAGTATTTATGAAGCTAGCAGAATAGTTGGTTACTCAACTACATAGCACAACTACTCACACGAATTACAGGCTAGATACAAAATATAATTCCACTTAGTTTTCTGCTGTTGCTAGTGAAAAAAAAAATCATTTGATTCTTTTGTGGCCATGAGGCCTATGATCAGCACTTAGTTTTAATGAATAGCTTGAGCACCAAAGCCAACAGCAGACGACTAGACACTTTTATTTCAAGAAAGCTATCTTATATAGATATTTACTTATTTGGAACACTTGTAAAAATGCCCTTTCTGTCAGAAACAAGTAGAAAGTCACACTCCTCTTGGCTATTTCAAGAAAAGAAAGGAAAAAGAGAGAGGAAACTCCAAATAGAAACAAAAGTCCTTCAGATTTTTGGATGTATCTTATCTAGCAATTCTACTTAGAATTTCCATGTTATTCTTCATAATGGGCTCAAACAAAAATTATGCTCATGGTGTTATTTCTGACACTGAAAAATTGGAATCAAGAGGAGCATTTGGGGAAAATATATAATCATGATACTGGTTTTATTCAACTGTAATATCCCTAATGTGAGTAAAATAAGCAGATTGCCAAACAGTTTACTACAATCCATGGTTTGTTGTTTAATATGTATGAAATATATGAATAATATGAAAATATAAAATAATATGAAATATAAAATAAAATAAAATAAAAAATATAAAATAATATGAAAAATAATAGGAAGGGAGCCAGGCACCGGTGGCTCACACCTATAATTCTAGCTACTCAGGAGGCTGAGATCTGAGGATCACGGTTCAAGACCAGCCCAGGCAGGAAACTCCGTGAAACACCGTGAAACTCTCCAATAAACCACCAGAACACCGGAAGTGGTGCTGTAGCTTAAGTGGTAGAGTGCTAGCCTTGAGCCGAAGAGCTCAGGGACAGCCCTAAGGCCCAGAGTTCAAGCCCCACAATCGACAAAATAATAATAATAATAATAATAGTAGGAAGAGGCCTTCAGACGGAAAAAGTTGAGTGACTGTTGTTTGCTTTTCATAGTTCACTGAATTTTCTCTTTTTTCTATCATACATATATGTTCATTCTACCTTCTTATATTCTACCGTCTTATATTTTATTTTATTTTTATTTTTAATTTACTATTATTATTATTTTGCCAGTCCTGGATCTTGAACTCAAGGCATGGGCACTGTCCCTGAGCCTCTTTGTGCTTAAGGCTAACACTCTACCACTTGAGCCACAGCACCACTTCCAGCTTTTGCTAAGTAGTTTATTGGAGATAAGAGTCTCATGAACTTTTCAGTCTGGGCTGGCTTTGAACCATGATCCTCAGATCTCAGCCTCATGAGTAGCTAGGATTACAGGTGTGAGCCACCAGCACCTAGCAGAAAAATGTTTTTAAGGAAGAGAAACTACCTACTTTAAAAATGCTTACATCTTGCTGGTTCTTTTTTAAAAGAATATTTTCAGTTGAACTGATTTGCCACTTGAATTAAAATGCCTCCATCTTTCCTGTTATATACTATTGGATTCCTGCTTATAATTCTAAAGTCTCTCTCTTACACTCAGTCTCTTTTTTCTCTCCATGCCCTCTTTTTACTCCTTGTATCATCTCCTGATTTCTGTGAAACTTAAATTAACATTGTGATGATGAACATATCAAGAAAGTTTTCACTATTGTAAATTTTCCAATTTTCTCTAGGACATGTTCTTGTGTTATTTCTTTGATGAGTTCACCTTTCCCTTTGCTCCCTTAAAAAATCAACTTTGAAATATTTATCTGGGATTACCCTCTTTATCTTCCAAATATGTATTTCTATGATGAAATAATCAGAACTTACTTTGGTCCTGCCCACCCCTTAGCTCATCTCTTTTTCTTAAGGTATATATGTGTGTGTATGTATATATATTTCTTTCACACACACACATAAACACACACACACAAACATACACACATGCACGTACACATATTTTAGTTAATTTTCAAATAGTGCCTAACAGTGAATCTTAAATACAAGGATGTTTAATAAATCATCTGATGGTATTCATTGATGGTATTCAAACTTTGGCCATGTGTTTTCAATTCATTATTGCTTCCAGTGGAGAAAGCATTAGCGCAGATGACACAAAGCTGCTTTGGAGATCAAACAGAAGAACTGGAAAAGCAAGTCTAAAAAAGAATCCTTTGATGGGAGGAGGTTATCTTCAGCCAGTGGTGCCACAGTGAGATTGCTGGGAAGGCAAACTCCATCCCTGTGTCCCACAAACAAAACTCAATGGAGCAACTCTGGGAGAAGTAAGCCAAAGGCAAGGCACCGACCGCCTGCTGGTCAAGGAAGGCCACAGGCCTACCCTGAACCCGAGAATAACTCCTGTATTGACCAGTGGAAAATGGACGATTCCCAAACTGTGATGTTAACTTTTAGTACTACCATTCACAGAACTAGATAAATTATAGACCACTCTGCCTTTTCCTCTGTGTGTGTGTGTGTGTGTGTGTGTGTGTGTGTGTGTGTGTGTGTGTGTGTGTGTGTTTGTGTTCTCTGTGTGGCTGGATTTATCCTCAGTAGATATGTCTACCCCCTTTTAATTTTATTGTACCAAAATGTCTAAGGTATATTATTACAGACTTTTAGCCTTAACATCTCCATTGGAAGAAGAGCCATTCGGTGTCCATCATTGTAGAAGAAATCGCCTTGAACATGCATTATCCTTAACTTTAAAAGCTTGAAACCCCTTTTTGTCTGTTTCCTTAGATATACACCGCTTATCTTATCTGAGGACTCCATGGGCAAACTTTAGGAAATCAGTGTATTCTGCCAGGCTTGTGTTGAAAAACAGCCATGGTCATCTCTTCATTTCTGCTTCTCATCACAGCCACTGAGAGCTCATTATGTTGTTTTTCTCATTGAGCTCACAAACTGCTGCTTCTTCATTTTTCAGTTATTTGGTTTTATAGAAAATGTCTTAAGCTTGCTTATACTCCCTCCTTGCAAATACACACCACCTCCCTGAAATTTCTTTCTCTTCCTATTCTCAGACTGTGACTTT